TAAAGTTTAAAATATATATTTATTGATTCGCTAACGAGCTAGTTATCTATAAGGCAAAGCTAAAAACAGGTTGCATGATACACGTTTTTCCATTGCCATCATTTACACTGATGAAGATGAATTTCGTGTAAGATTCATAACATATGGTGTTCTGCATGTAAGAGTTTCCATGATGAAAGCATTGTTGACTCTGATGAGGACTACACTCCAGAGACAAGTACCGCATCGTCAGCTCGAGGACAGATAAATCGTTGTTTATCCAAAGACTTTTTGTTCATTACCTTTTCTAGTAACGTTACTGTCTTCCTTTTTTTGGCTGGTTTGCCTTCGCGAACTGCATATGTGAATTTTGATTGGTCTTTCTCTGCCATTGTTTTGCTATTCCTAGGTTCCGTGCCTCTTGAATTCCTCAAATCAATAAAAGAAAAGAGACAAAAATAATACAAACATATTCTAAAGACCCTCGCATTGAACTTTATGCCGCTTAGATTTCGTGAGGAGACCCTGCAGGCTATGTAAACAAGAGTTAAAATAAGCAAATTGGAATAGGCCTAGCGCTTACGTTAGCTTGTTTATCTAAAAAAAGCCAATATAGCCTGACCATGTACGCGAGAATGGTTCATTAAAATAAACATGATAATCACATTGGCTTTTTCTGGCTCGCTGTCGACGAAGAAAACAGGAAAAAGACCGCCGTCAGGTGTCCGCCGAGAAGGGTCCAGCCCGCAGACAAACCAGATAAACGTGACAGAAGTTGAAGGAAGTTGAACCTCGGTTCGTCCCACGTCACCGCGCACAAAACGTGATGTATATGAGAATGTTCTCATTAAGTTAGTCACAAAACATTCTCATATGGCCAACAGAGAACCATATGGGAACGTCCTTATTATGTCCTCTTTGTAATGTTGCTATGTGACCATAAAATAACCAATATGGAACGTTCCCCTAAAGTCACATAAAGAACGTCATTGTATGACCAACTTAGACCCATATGAGAACGTTTTGATTACATCCTCTTTGTAACGTTGTTATGTGACCATAAGATTACCATTACGGAACGTCCCCCTAAAGTTATTTAAGGAACGTTGAACTGCAGCACTTTCATTTACAAAAGAGGACGTTTCAGGAACGTCCCTAATGTTCTGTAAAGGTTCGGAATGTTCGTCACCTTTAGAGAACTTTAAGGTCTCGAGTTCAGTCAGCCTCTGTTCTTGCACACTTAAATAGTATAGCAGCAAAAATTATGATCTTCAACACTGATGTTCACACATCTAAACCTGTTAATCCACAGACTGGAGTGTGAGTGTGTCTTTCACACATTATGCTCCACTACAAGCCCTGCAACAAAGTCATATTTATACTGCATTTGGAGTCACTTCTTAGAACTGACCTAAGCCTTCGTTTCCATTTGACTTGTCTTTTGTGATCTTGTCTGTGTGTTTTACAACTAATATTGGCAGTATTTATATAGCATTCTAGTATCTTTGGTTCACTTCTTGAGTTATGCCAAAATCACTGATACGGTTGATGTGACATGTTCAACACATAAACAACACACATACGTTTTATTTTGCATGATTTGAAAGCATTTATTTGTCTGGCTTTAGTCAAAGAAAGTAGTGTCAGAATGAATTAATAACATAAATCTGTAATACTTGTTTTTTCATGACAACTTTATATTTAAAAAAGCTCAATAGCCACATAACCAGGACCAAAATGCTGCTGGTATATTTTTAATGGTGGACCATCATTATTGTTTCTTGACGTCTGGCTCATCATCACAAGCATCTGCTACTAGAGTTGGACTTGCATCTGCTTTTAGAGTTGGACTTGCATCTGCTTTTAGAGTTGGACTTGCATCTGCTTTTAGAGTTGGACTTGGATCTGCTTCTAGAGTTGGACTTGCATCTGCTTTTAGAGTTGGACTTGCATCTGCTTTTAGAGTTGGACTTGGATCTGCTTCTAGAGTTGGACTTGGATCTGCTTCTAGAGTTGGACTTGCATCTGCTTCTAGAGTTGGACTTACATCTGCTTCTAGAGGTAGACAAGCATCTGCTTCTAGAGTTAGACTTGCATCTGCTTCTAGAGGTGGACTTACATCTGCTTCTAAAAGATCCAAACAGTCGCCGTTAAATAGTGAGCTTTCTTTATTATATTTGCTCTTCAGAAAGTCCTGTAATTCCTTCAGGGTCTTTACACTGATTGTTTTGCCTTTATTTTTGCTCTCATCTATGTTTTCAGCCCAGTGAGCTTGAGACAACCATTTTTTGCTGTTACTGTTATAGCAGCAGAACACTGTCCACATGTGTGAGGGTTTACTCTGTTATTCAATAAATCTGGTGGTGTTTTAGTGTTCGGCACAGCTCCTGTCAACACATAAGCCAAGATTTTTTTATTTTGATCAATGCATTGAGAATTCATGATACCTCTAACTTTTTGCTCCATGTGGCTCCAGCTGCCACCGTTAAAGCTTATGGACTGCGGCACAGCATTGGTCAGTGTGAACGTAGATTTGACAGTGTCTTCATCAGCTGCATGGCAGCATGGAAATAAGTGTCCACGATTCACATTCATTTTGTTGTTCAGATAGTCTCCGTCCTTAGCCTGATCTGAATCTTTAAGCTACAGAACAGATAGTTGACAGAGAAAAAAAGAGACAATAATGAGTTTTTCTAAAACATAACTGGAATAAGAAAAATAGGAATTTGCAACCTCACCTGTTGCTCGATCCTCCATGGAACACGATTCACTTTGTGATACCCAGTATATTTGTAAGCTGAGAATATCGCAATCTTATTTGTTGTGTCGTAGAGAGTTGCATATCTGTAAATCTTCTCAATTTTTTGACAGATTATTCTGTACCGATTCTGATTCATTGAGACTGAATTCTCCAGAATGCCAGAGATATTTGGAGGCTGTTCTTTTAAAAAAAACTGACTGCATGTTTCGAATGAATCTACAACATCAGTCATGATGAACGGAAAGCCAAACACCAGCAGCATCGAGACGACAAACAGACGCATCTTCAGCTGTGAAGGTAATTCAGGACGTGAAGAACACGAAGGTTATTCAGGATGTGTAACTTCTATAAAGAAACCCTCTGTTTTATAGACAAGCTGTCCAGTAACGGGGGAAGGGTGCAGCCTCCCTCGTCATAGCATCAGCACCCCCTGGTGAGGGGCTGTGGACTAACATTATATTGTCCTTAAAGGGTAACTAAACCCTAAAACAACTTTTTTTAGTTAATGATCTGTAAGACTGGGGCTTTATTATTGCTGTTCATTGTTTCAAGTAATTTTTTTGACATTTGGGTATAAAGTGTTTTAATTAATGGTGTAAAAACGTCTGAGTGCTGAGTTCTTCAGGTTGAACGGTAGCTACTTTAGTTGAATTTTCCTATTGGAAGTTGTGGTGCCCTGTGATGTAAGAGGGTACCAGCTAACCACGCCCTTGCCTACAGAGAGACGTGTCTCAGGTGCACGCCCCCATCCGCTGGGCTCTGCCCACTTTTCCATCATTTTTCAAATATTGCCAGTGGGTGGAACCTGGGGCTACCTGGGGTCTCTCTCTCTCGGTTTTGGAGAGAGATACCTGGGGTCATACATATTGTATTAAAGTGATCAAATATTCCAAACAAATAAATTCTGAATCCCAGAATTTTCCTCGTGGGCCTGTGATGTACAGTGCTGGTCAGAATTATTTGCACCCTTTGTAAATATGCTGTAAAAAATAAATCTGTATTGTTAATCCTTTTGATATTTTATTATTTTTTTTTGCAAAAATCTAAACTTTCATTGAAATAAAAGAATGTTTTTCTCCAAAACATGCTGGGAACAACTATTTGCCCTCTTTTATTAAATACTTTTTGTAACCTCCTTTTTCCAAGATAACAGCTCTGAGTTTTCTCCCCTAATGCCTGATGAGTTTGGAGAACACCTGACGAGAGATCAGAGAGCATTCCTCCACACAGAATCTCTCCAGATCCCGCAGATTCCCAGATCCATGTTCTCTGCAGTTCAGCCACTCATCTTCTATAGGGTTCAGGTCAGGGACAGGGATGGCCATTGCAGAGGCTTGGTTTTGTGCTCAGTGACACATTTTGATTTTGATGTTTGTTTTTGGATCACTGTCCTGTTGGAAGATCCATTATAGTCCATTAGAGTCCATTGCAAGATTTCTAGCAGAGGCCGTCAGGTTTTGATTTTTTATCTGTTGGGATTTGATTGAATCCATGATGCCATGTCTGAACAAGATGTCCAAGACCTCTGCCAGAACATTAGGCCCACAGCATTAAAGATACAGCAGAGTATTTCATTTTACGGGGCACTTTTTATCCCTCTATGAACCAAACCCATTTTAAGGTTTGCTGCCAAAAACTTCTTTTTTGTTTTGTTTCAGCTGTCCATAGAACGTTTGAAAAGTAACGGACACTACTGAAACTTCAAACGGTACGGGTTCTATGGTCAGATGAAATATAAAATTAGCTTTTTAGGCAGCAAACATTTAAGATGGGTGTTTTTAAAAGTTCATTTTAGCACTTCCTGAAGTCAATTGGTTTTTAAATTGATTTGTGGTTAAATGCCTAAAATAAGGTTCACGTTCAAGATATTTTCACATTTTATTCTATGACATAAAATACATCACTAATACCCCCTTGTGATTTAAAAAACAAAACATCAACAAGTGGCTAAATTGGATTACAGAGGTTTACGGGACATAAAACATCATCACCGAACAGGAAAACTCATCTACTCAGTTGTCTGCTTTGTGTTTACAATCACGTCTTGCAAACTATTCTGAATTTAGGCTTCACAATTTACAAAAGTTGTCTCAATCTGTGAAGGTTATCATGATGAATAAAACAGGCAAGAAGCATAAACTTGTGTTGGTCACAGAACTTATTTTCTGCAATAATCCAACAGCCAATGGAAAACTGTGTTTGTGTGGAGGGAACCAGTGTAATGACTTCAGGCTGTCGGTTGGTTTGATCTGTTGATCTGTGTCTGCTGCCCTCTGCTGTTTTTAACCAGTACTGTGTCTTTGTCCAGCTTGTACGGATTGCCAAAGTCCTGGGCACAGAGGACCTCTACGACTACATCGACAAATACAACATCGAGCTCGACCCACGGTTCAATGACATTTTGGGAAGGTACGTTGAGATGTGTGATTGTGTTTATACATGTAATACTTTGACCTCACTTTAAGGATTTTACTATCTCTCTCCAGACATTCCCGGAAAAGGTGGGAACGGTTTGTCCACAGTGAGAACCAGCACCTGGTCAGTACCGAAGCGTTGGACTTCCTGGACAAACTGTTGCGCTACGACCACCAAGCTCGCCTCACCGCCCGCGAGGCCATGGAGCACCCTTATTTCTGTGAGTGTCTTCATCTACTGAAACTATGAAGATCAACTGCTGTGCTCCTCATGCCAGAGTCTAGGATCTCTTAGTCAATAGCCAAGGAAGCAGAACCAATATCCCAATCTGATTCAAAAACACCTTGATTGCAAAGTTGACATTTACATGTGATCAAATGATTGAGAAGTGTGAGCAATGTCTCTGTAGGAACTAAAGCGGTTGTCATGTGGACACAGGATTTGCTCGCTCATTTGAAATAAAAGGTTTATGTACTCAATTGATTGCATCATGCATTTCATCACTGTGCCCATATGTGAAGCGCTTTGAGTACCCAGATAAGCGCTGTATGAATGTAACAAATTATTATTTTTTCTCGTGTCAGATCCCATTGTGAAAGAACAGGCGAGGATTGGCTCCACTTCAGGCCTGTCCGCTGGATCCACTCCTGTCAGCACGTCCAGTATGATCACAGGTCAGTCATGTGACTCCCTCCGGGATCATGCTTATTGAACTGAGAATTACATACTAGAATTAAGATTAAAAGAGTATTTTTCTGTGTTCATGAGGAACATGACGTTACTAAAAGGCATTGATCTGCAGGTCTTCAAGGAGTCAGAGTGTCAGCTGATCCTTGACACACTGCGAGTGTGTTTGCTTCTAAATGCTGACTGTGTTTGTGTGCCTGTAGGAGGCGTCACATCCATGTCCTCGTCCCAGCCGATGGCCAACATCGCCGGCTCTCCGGTCATCTCGTCTCCCAGTGCTCTCGCCACACAGGTTCCTGCGGCCGCCGGTGCGATGCCCTGAACACACACACACACACTCGCTCTCTCTGCCCTGGGCCACAGTTTTATGGTGAGTGTAAACAAACTAAAGAGAGACTAAACTAGGTTTCTTTTTTTTCTTTTCTTTTTTTTTCTTGTTTTTTTTCTTTTTCCATACAATAATTATATATTGAAGCTGGGACACACAGTTGTTATGTTGCATCGGTGTCCGGCAGTCTTTCCTGATGATGATGATGATGGTGTCTATATAGAAGCCACTACAGTGTAGAAATTCAGAAAATGGATAATAACATTTATTTTATATGTCCCTATTTTGGCTTCTGTTTCTTATTCGAACAATATGGATATTTGCTGATGAGATTGTTGTTAATCTACGAGTTTTGGGGCATCTTTACACGCTTGGCGCGTTAAACCAAGATGGCGGCTGTCACAGCGAGCTGGTAATATCAAATATCTGGTATTACAGATGTCTGCAGGTCTGTTTTTTTTACCAGATTTACTGCAGTTATAATGCTATCGTTGTTTAATTTGCTCAAGTACCGTAAAGTGCGGGTCAACCGCTTTGTTTGGACAACTCACAAACGCCAATACGGGCACTCTTTAACAACTAAAGATCAACAACTCAAACCCGGCGTGGAGCCTTTACTACACCAGCTGAACTGGGTCCTTTGCTGTGTTGTTGCTGTGTTTGCCTGTTTTCTATTGCCTTTAATGTTGTTCAAGTCCCTAGCCATCTTACTTGTCTCGAGAGAGTGACCAAAGTCCTTTTAGGCAAGTCATGCCACTCTTGGCAAGGCAAGGCCTCCGGGCAGCTATTTCGGACTAACAAGACCAGGCTCCTATCTAAATGAATGGGCAGAGAGTCAGAACTGCACTTTCACTGGTCACCGGGACATAAAAACTGCTTGTATAGAAACAGCAGTAATATATGATAAAAATTGCTGAAAAAGTTTGATGACTTTGCCCCAAAATAAGGTTTAAAACGCCTTTTTCCCCACAGGTTATACTTTTACTACGCATGCGCAAGGGTTCTCTCCCTCTCTCTCGTGCGCGCGCTACACAGTTTGAAGCACAGTATGTGCGAGCTCTTGCTCGCTCGCTCTAGATTGCGGGAGATTTGAACTAATTTGTGGGCATCAGGGAGCCGCTATCAATCTGCGGGAGACTTCTGATGTCTGATATTACACAACTCACACATACACTGCATATCAAATCTGCCGCCTTTTCAAACAGTAACGAATTTTGCGCTGTCGCAAACCTCAACTGTGCGCATGCGTCAGTGGAACCAGACGATAGGCTTAAATGTTTCCCGGCTTGACTGTTAAAAGCAGACGATTGGCTTTCCAGCGGGAGGGGCGGGCATGTGCATACAACCGCCATCTTTGGCGTTACGGGTTTTCCCTATATAGTTGTATTAAGGATTGAGGAAGTGGCATGTCTCTATATAAATAGTCTCTGGAGTGACTGAGCCTGAGTGGGGATGTCCGGCCTCGAGAGACCTTTTCGCCCTCCCGTAGAGGCGGGTTGTGGTGTGCGCCCAATGTCCAGCACGGAGGAGCCATATGTGGAGAGCAGGCCTGGTTTTCGTCTGGCCGGCTTCGTGTTCCAAGTTTGCAGTGCTCTACCTTATGTATGCAACCGGAGGATCATGCAAGTTGTGCCTCTCGTTTTGACATCATTCCTCAGTTCGAACGGACAATCATTTCGACCCGCGCTATCATCTTCCACCGGTGGGTAAATGACTTTAAGTTTAAACCCATGGGCACGAGAGATGCTGCTACTGTAGATAAGCGCCAAAAGTCCTCATTAAGACTCTATCTGTTCTTTTATTTATCGGAAATATTGAACTAAACCCTGGTCCGGGCAAAAATGCCTTTATGTCCGCTTTTTATATTTTATACTTTTATACTATATTTTTATGGGATTTTATACTCATGTTTTAAATAACAATTTGGGCATGGGTTTACATGCAGGTGTCCCACACATGGATTTATCTCAATCGCAGTGTTTTCAACAACCTGTAGGCACAATGATTACACCTCAGTTGCCATTTAATTCTCCTTCTGTTATCCCAGGCTTTAATTCTAAACCTGTCAGAGCACAAAATAGACCATTGTGTCTAAGGAAAAATCCAGTTACTTTATGCCAACTTGGTAGAATCAGAGGTTTCAAAGTTTGCCATCTAAATATGAGAAGGATGAATTTAAAATCATGCTCACTCAAACAAAGGCTCATGTTAAGGCAATATCGGAATCATGGCTGACTCCTGTTATACCAGACTCATTTCTTGCGATTGAAAACTATTCATTATATCGCAAAGACAGGATTGATAGAACTGGTGGTGGTGTTGCTCTTTATGTACATAAAAAATATGCACATTCTTTAGTAAAACTATCAACAGTATCAGAGTCACTTCAATTGGTTATTCATTTTACAAATCATTTTCCAGTTACTATTATTGTCACTTACAAGCCTCCAAATGTCAGTCCAACTGCATATTTATTGCCGTTTTCGGACTTAATAAAATCTGTTAAAACTAACGAGCTTGTTATTCTTGGTGACATAAATTTAAATTGGATTGATAATTCCTCTAAACTTCTGAAAACAACTGCTATAAAATATGGTCTTCATCAATTAATTAAAGATCACACTAGATTTGGTAAAACACGAAATTCTATTTTGGACCTTATTTTCACTAATCAACCTTCCAAGTATGGCATATCAGGAGTGATAAACACAGCAGTTTCAGATCACTCACTCATATATGTCATTAGGAAATGTTTTACACAGCCAAAATAATTACATCAAAAAAGTACCAAATTCAAAATTGTCTCAGTTTAATGCCGAATTTGCTGATACTGACTGGAGTAACGAGATGTTTTTACAAAATCCTGATCATGTTCTGTCAAATTTCCATAGGAGAGTGGAGACAATACATCAAAAATATACAACTACCTGTAAAATACATATTAGACAAAATACAGTACCTTGGTTAACTCCTGCTATTTTACAGCTCCTAAAAAAGAAGGCCACTTCCCTGAAAGCCTTCAGATTATTAAAAACACCTGAAGCTAAGCTTATTTTCACACAGTTTAGAAATAAGTGTAAGTTTGAATTATACAAAGCAAAACAGTCTTATTATGAAAATCAAATTAGTCGAACAGTTTCCAACCCAAGAACTTTATGGCGAACATTGAAATCTATAACTGGTGAAAATAAAATTAAAAATAATAATAGTTTACAATTATCCATAAATGGTACTCTTCTTACTGATCATGATAAAATTGCTAATTTTTTAAATGAGTATTTTATTTGCATCTGTACAAGAATTATCCTCTAAATTTACTATTCCTCTGTTTCTTACATCAGTACCAGCATTATATCAGCAATTCTCTTTTTTTGAAATCTGAAATATTTTGTGTTCTCTGAATGCGTCTCATGCTTGTGATATATATATATAATTTAAACATAACTTTTGTTATGTAACTCATGCCAGTACTCTTATACCACTCCTTCATCATTTAGTTAACCTGTGTATTAGACAATCAGTATTTCCTGCCATGTGGAAAACGGCCCATATCACCCCGATGTTTAAATCTGATGATCCAACTAATATTTCCAATTATCTTCCAATTGCAATTCTTCCAACAATTTCCAAATTGCTTGAAAAAATATTATATAATCAACTAATTAACCACCTTGAAAATAATAACCTGCTCAATGATTGCCAGCATGGCTTTCGACCCTTGCGGTCAACTATATTACTTTGCTGCTTCTCACGGAGCAAATACGTGCGTCTCTAAACGAGGGTCAGATTACTGGAGCTATATACATAGATTTTCAGAAAGCTTTCGATACAGTCAATCATCAAATTCTGTTAAACAAACTTCTTTCTTTTCATTTGTCATCTTCGGCAATAGATATGTTTACATCATATTTAAGTGACAGATCTCAGACTGTAAGAATCGGCACAGTAACATCACAGCCACGAGTGTGTTCTATGGGAGTTCCACAGGGCAGTATTTTAGGTCCTTTACTTTTCCTTATGTATATTAATGATCTTCCCTGTGTTTTGAATTTTTCTAGTTCTTTGCTGTATGCTGATGACACAGTTATTTTTCTTTCTGGTTCTAATATTGACACAATCAATCACAAACTTAACACGGATCTGCAGCATTTACAGAACTGGTTGCAAGATAATCATTTAACACTTAATGTCAAGAAAACACAATGCATGTATTTTTATTCATCTAGAAGACAACTATCCATATCTAATCCTATCACTTTTTCTAATCAAACGCGTTCAATTGTATCAGCATATAAGTATTTGGGAGTCTACCTTGACTCACATCTTACTTATCAAGAACATGTTCAAACCCTAACGAGAAAGTTAAATCAAAAGTTATGTTTATAGCAAAATTAGATCACATTTGTTGTTTTCTGTTTCAAAAACCTATCTTCATGCCATCATTCTGTCCACTTTGTCGTATTGTTTACCTGTTTGGTCACTAACAACAAATGAGATTATTGAACCAGTAATAAGACTTTATAATAGAGCTCATAAGATCCATGTCAGGCTCCCAGGCTGGACTCACCACTGTACTGCACTATCATTGTGTAATGACTTGACATTTCAGAACTATAAAATAAGCCATGAGATAAACCTGTTTCATCAAATCTCAAATGGACACACTGTAACTGCTCTAACCGAATTGGTTCCGAAACTTCGAGATCATTTATAAATGGACTTTTGCCTTTACCGGCTTGTAGAAACTGTTATGGACAGAGATCTTTTTTTTTATGTGCTCACAAAAACCTGGAATGAGATCCCACAGCACATCAAGATGAGTTGTTTAAAATAACATTTGCTCGCAATTTAGTGGACAGGTATATCTGGGACCATTGAGACGGCTTTATAGCCCCTCCTGTTGCCCAATATCTTGGTTTGTGTGTCTGTTGTCTCTAGCTGTCTAGTGTTTGAGCTTTGTTGTGTATGTGGTTTAATGTTCTGCAGAGCAGGAACCTGCTGAAAATCAGTTTATACTGAGCCAGGCCTGATTGTCCTTAATATTTTCCTGTTTCAAAAATATAAATAAATAAATAAATAAAACGTATAATTAAACAACATATAATTCATAGACAAATATCAAAGAGCAAGAACCATTTTCACATTCATGCATTGGGTAGATGCTTTTATTCTAAGTGACTTGCATTGCTTTCTAAGTTTACATTAAATTCCTTTTTGGATAGTAATGACTCAACTTTCTTAAGGAACTACTAATTATTTGGATCAGGATTCTAAAGTGAAGATCCTGGTAACCCAATAGTAATGACTCGAGTGTTACTAAATCCATCTGAAGGAATTACCATCCAAAACCTTTCAAAAACCTCAAAAGTTTACAATGAATTCAGTCTTTAATAGGAGAGTCATTGCTAGTGCATTACCATGATCTTCACTTCAGAAATAATTATACATTATACATTAGTCATATTAAATATGAACTGCAAATGAAAGCCTTATCGGTGATTAATTAAATTGTGTATGCTATTGTCGAGTTAAAGTGTGTGAACTATTGTGATACAGCGGAGATATTTAATGTGTGTCTGTAATGGGTTTGTAGGGACGAGGCAGAGTGAGAATCTAAGTGTGCACATAACTTTAATAGCAAAAGACAAAAACACAGATAATCAAGACAGGGAAACAGGCAAATGGTTCACATGAACTCAAAGGGCAAAACCAGGACATCCAGGCACCCCACGACCGAACCAGGACATCCAGACACCCCACGACCGAACCAGGACATCCAGGCACCCCACAACCGAACACCATAAGAGCAAACAACAACTAACAAAACATGACCGAAGCACATGAGTTTGAATACACAAGGAAATCAAGCATGGTTAACTACAGGTGTGTCTGATGACGGTAACCATAGGAACTAACGAGGTAATTAAAGAAACAGAAACCAAACACAGGAAGGAAAAACAGAGACAATGAGACTGAGAACACATTTCAACACAAAGTCCTTATAAAACACAGAACTGGGATCGTGACAGCGTCCCACCTGTCGTTACATTGTTTTCAGAAATTCCTGGTTCTTGCAGAAGCTCAAACGTGCTGCGTAACACAAGAATGAACCTCATTGGTTCTTGCTGAAGCTCAAACGTGCTGCGTAACACAAGAATGAACCTCATTGGTTCTTGCTGAAGCTCAAACGTGCTGCGTAACACGAGAATGAACCTCATTGGTTCTTGCTGAAGCTCAAACGTGCTGCGTAACACGAGAATGAACCTCATTGGTTCTTACAGAAACTCAAACGTGCTGCGTAACACGAGAATAAACCTCATTGGTTCTTGCAGAAACTCAAACGTGCTGCGTAACACGAGAATGAACCTCATTGGTTCTTGCTGAAGCTCAAACGTGCTGCGTAACACGAGAATGAACCTCATTGGTTCTTGTTGAAGCTCAAACGTGCTGCGTAACACGAGAATGAACCTCATTGGTTCTTGCTGAAGCTCAAACGTGCTGCGTAACTCGAGAATGAACCTCATTGGTTCTTACAGAAGCTCAAACGTGCTGCGTAACACGAGAATGAACCTCATTGGTTCTTGCAGAAGCTCAAACGTGCTGCGTAACACGAGAATGAACCTCATTGGTTCTTGCAGAAGCTCAAACGTGCTGCGTAACACGAGAATGAACCTCATTGGTTCTTGCAGAAGCTCAAACGTGCTGTGTAACACGAGAATGAACCTCATTGGTTCTTGCTGAAGCTCAAACGTGCTGCGTAACACGAGAATGAACTTCATTGGTTCTTGCTGAAGCTCAAACGTGCTGCGTAACACGAGAATGAACCTCATTGGTTCTTACAGAAGCTCAAACGTGCTGCGTAACACGAGAATGAACCTCATTGGTTCTTGCAAAAGCTCAAACGTGCTGTGTAACACGAGAATGAACCTCATTGGTTCTTGCTGAAGCTCAAACGTGCTGCGTAACACGAGAATGAACTTCATTGGTTCTTGCTGAAGCTCAAACGTGCTGCGTAACACGAGAATGAACCTCATTGGTTCTTGCTGAAGCTCAAACGTGCTGTGTAACACGAGAATGAACCTCATTGGTTCTTGCAAAAGCTCAAACGTGCTGCGTAACACGAGAATGAACCTCATTGGTTCTTGGAGAAGCTCAAACGTGCTGCGTAACACGAGAATGAACCTCACTGGTTCTTGCTGAAGCTCAAACGTGCTGCGTAACACGAGAATGAACCTCATTGTTTCTTGCAGAAGCTCAAACGTGCTGCGTAACACGAGAATGAACCTCATTGGTTCTTGCTGAAGCTCAAACGTGCTGCGTAACACGAGAATGAACCTCACTGGTTCTTGCTGAAGCTCAAACGTGCTGCGTAACACGAGAATGAACCTCATTGGTTCTTGCAGAAGCTCAAACGTGCTGCGTAACACGAGAATGAACCTCATTGGTTCTTGCTGAAGCTCAAACGTGCTACGTAACACTAGAATGAACCTCATTGGTTCTTGCTGAAGCTCAAACGTGCTGCGTAACACGAGAATGAACCTCATTGGTTCTTGCTGAAGCTCAAACGTGCTACGTAACACTAGAATGAACCTCATTGGTTCTTGCTGAAGCTCAAACGTGCTGCGTAACACGAGAATGAACCTCATTGGTTCTTGGAGAAGCTCAAACGTGCTGCGTAACACGAGAATGAACCTCATTGGTTCTTGGAGAAGCTCAAACGTGCTGTGTAACACGAGAATGAACCTCATTGGTTCTTGCTGAAGCTCAAACGTGCTGCGTAACTCGAGAATGAACCTCATTGGTTCTTGCTGAAGCTCAAACGTGCTGTGTAACACTGAGAATGAACCTCATTGGTTCTTGCAGAAGCTCAAACGTGCTGCGTAACATGAGAATGAACCTCATTGGTTCTTGCTGAAGCTCAAACGTGCTGCGTAACACGAGAATGAACCTCATTGGTTCTTGCAGAAGCTCAAACGTGCTGCGTAACACGAGAATGAACCTCATTGGTTCTTGCTGAAGCTCAAACGTGCTGTGTAACACTGAGAATGAACCTCATTGGTTCTTGCAGAAGCTCAAACGTGCTGCGTAACACGAGAATGAACCTCATTGGTTCTTGCAGAAGCTCAAACGTGCTGCGTAACACGAGAATGAACCTCATTGGTTCTTGCTGAAGCTCAAACGTGCTGCGTAACACGAGAATGAACCTCATTGGTTCTTGCAGAAGCTCAAACGTGCTGCGTAACACGAGAATGAACCTCATTGGTTCTTGGAGAAGCTCAAACGTGCTGCGTAACACGAGAATGAACCTCATTGGTTCTTGGAGAAGCTCAAACGTGCTGCGTAACACGAGAATGAACCTCATTGGTTCTTGCTGAAGCTCAAACGTGCTGCGTAACACGAGAATGAACCTCATTGGTTCTTGCAGAAGCTCAAACGTGCTGCGTAACACGAGAATGAACCTCATTGGTTCTTGCTGAAGCTCAAATGTGCTGCGTAACACGAGAATGAACCTCATTGGTTCTTGCTGAAGCTCAAACGTGCTGCGTAACATGAGAATGAACCTCATTGGTTCTTGCTGAAGCTCAAATGTGCTGCGTAACACGAGAATGAACCTCATTGGTTCTTGCTAAAGCTCAAACGTGCTGCGTAACATGAGAATGAACCTCATTGGTTCTTGCTGAAGCTCAAATGTGCTGCGTAACACGAGAATGAACCTCATTGGTTCTTGCTGAAGCTCAAACGTGCTGCGTAACATGAGAATGAACCTCATTGGTTCTTGCTGAAGCTCAAATGTGCTGCGTAACACGAGAATGAACCTCATTGGTTCTTGCAGAAGCTCAAACGTGCTGCGTAACACGAGAATGAACCTCATTGGTTCTTGCTGAAGCTCAAATGTGCTGCGTAACACGAGAATGAACCTCATTGGTTCTTGCTGAAGCTCAAACGTGCTGCGTAACATGAGAATGAACCTCATTGGTTCTTGCTGAAGCTCAAACGTGCTGCGTAACACGGGAATGAACCTCATTGGTTCTTGCAGAAGCTCAAACGTGCTGCGTAACACGAGAATGAACCTCATTGGTTCTTACAGAAGCTCAAACGTGCTGCGTAACACGAGAATGAACCTCATTGGTTCTTGCTGAAGCTCAAACGTGCTGCGTAACACGAGAATGAACCTCATTGGTTCTTGCTGAAGCTCAAACGTGCTGCGTAACATGAGAATGAACCTCATTGGTTCTTGCTGAAGCTCAAACGTGCTGCGTAACACGAGAATGAACCTCATTGGTTCTTGCAGAAGCTCAAACGTGCTGCGTAACACGAGAATGAACCTCATTGGTTCTTGCAGAAGCTCAAACGTGCTGCGTAACATGAGAATGAACCTCATTGGTTCTTGCAGAAGCTGAAACGTGCTGCGTAACACTGAGAATGAACCTCATTGGTTCTTGCTGAAGCTCAAACGTGCTGCGTAACACGAGAATGAACCTCATTGGTTCTTGCTGAAGCTCAAACGTGCTGCGTAACACGAGAATGAACCTCATTGGTTCTTGCTGAAGCTCAAACGTGAATGAATCTCATTGACAGAATTAAATTTTTGGATGAACTAACCCTTTAAACTTCAAATATTTTTGTTCTTCTTTTGCAGTTATTTTAGATACATAAACAAAAGAGATCTTGTCCACATATACTCTTATTTGTAGGCTACTTAAGCACTTGGTTATTCCAAGAAAAACGTTTTATTCCAAGAAGAACTGCAAGGTTTCCACCTGCCGACCACAGCAGTTTCATGAACAATATTCTTGGACAGAAATCAGGCACAATCACACAAAAAAACTGAAATTTGCTGACAATCATTTTCCCTGTATTTACATGCGAGACCTCTTCAATAACATGCAGTACCACTGATGGAGGAAAATTAATATTCCTTTTTACAGATAAACTTTTTCTGTGTTTTACAAGAAGCATCAAACCAAGAGTCTAAGCTGCTTGTCACATCTCCCAGAGCAACACAATTCTCTCCAGACGGATCATGTTCTCTCCGGTTATTAGGTTGTTGGGGATTCCCGCTGAACCAGAACCTTTAAGAGACAAACAAGCAATAATGCAGTTGCAGTAATATTTTTAGAAAACATCTGTATATTTGTACATTGATTAACATTCCTAGACATGATTACACATGCAGAGTTCTTACTGTAGTCTGGTGTCATTGAGAGTTTGTTTATTCACCCAAACCCAGTGTCCTTCAGTGTCCAGATCATTGAGACCAATCCAGTGCGTCTCTCTAATTTTAGACACCAGAAAATCCTAATGGGGAAATGTACATAAGTGATAGTGTAAAATAAGTGTTTTTGGTATATGTGAAGGTAAATGTATAGGTTAATAGAAACCCTTTAAAAGCTTTGTTTTATTTGTGTGATCAAAACATATTCATTTCTAATTGATCTGACTTGCCTGTTCTGATTGGCTGGTTATGGTCACCAGATCGGCTCCTTTTGAAACACAGACATCTCGACTGCTCGACCAGCTCAGTTCATCAGAGCTGAATAAATACAGCTTTCCACGACAAGCTAACCGGCCATTCACAGAGATATTACAAGACTGAGCTGTGAGGAATGAATTAAAAAGTCAATTACACCTGCATTATTTAGATAATAAAGTTAATCAAACTCTTTCCATGTGCAGAAATATTCACACTTGGTGTCGCATGTAAACTGAATTCACCTTCGTAAACGGACAGCCGTTCTCTAAGTGTGTTGTATCTGGCTGTGAGATCATTAAACTCTTTCTTCATGGCTGGTGAAAAGACAATTAAATAGTAAAGGAGAAAAAGCAGATCAAGTTTCTAACATGGTGAGTTCAATAAACACTCAACACTGTGCTCTACCAGTTTATCAGAGCTGAATAAATACAGCTTTCCACGACAAGCTAACCGGCCATTCACAGAGAAATCACAAGACTGAGCTGTGAAAGATGAATTAAAAAGTCAATTTCACCTGCATTATTTAGATCATAAAGTTAATCAAACTCTTTCCATGTGCAGAAATATTCATACTTGGTGTCGCATGTAAACTGAACTCACCTTCGTAAACGGACAGCCGTTCTCGAAGTGTGTTGTATCTGGCTGTGAGATCATTAAACTCTTTCTTCATGGCTGGTGAAAAGACAACAGGAGAACAAGCAGATAACGTTTCTCACATGGTCAGTTCAATGAACACTCAACACTGTTAATGAAACATGTCTGTGCTTTACCGTTTATGAAATACAGTTTTCTCACCTGTGATTATGATCTCTTGAGCCTCCAGTGTCTCTGAAATCATGATGTTCTGCTCATTCAGTGATTCGAAATCAGCAAGCTTATGATTATCTGATAAAGACAAAAGCAGCAGTGGAAATGTGTTTTTGAGGAAAGTCCACATAATGCACACTTAAGACTGAAATGATCCACAAAACAAAGTTTGAATGGAGTTTGTAAATGAAGTCTTCAGGCTTAATTAATAACAGTTTACACCGTCAATATGGAGATTTGTTTGACAATACTTGCCTGATAAAAAATCTTTGCTGAGAAGTATGATTTCACACATAAAAAGCTACTAAAATTGCGTGTTCTAATGATGCTACATGTGTTAGGTCAAGTATAATTACGTACAGTAACTCAGCCAATACAACCCTGAACAGAGCAGAGATCTAGTATCAGTTATACTTACAAATCACCCCGAGAGCGCAGAGACCTCCGAGAGCAAAAACAAGAGAGAAACCCAGAACAATCAGAGGAACTTTAGTCCACTTAGGAGAAGTGACCTCTCTCTCTCTCTCTTCAGTGGAGTTACCTGGGGTTAGAAATTTGATGAGATTTTTTTATATGTATTTCTGATTCCTTGATTCAGTCCAGCACTGCTGTCTGGAGCTATTCCTGAAATTACAGATGACTCCTGAGAAGAGTTTAAAGTTTCAGTTTAAATCTTAGTTGATTCTGAATGTTTGCAAGTGTGATTTTATTGTGACCATTGTTACTGAAAAGATAAGAGAAAATGGAATAGAAACATGTGGATATAAACGTAAGAGAAAATGTGAATATTATCTTTAATGCAGTGCATGCGTATATAGCTTCTGAATTTAAAATGATTGCAAATTTGTAAAGACCAAAGTTCATGACAAAAATTTTTTATTGTCTCCTTAAGAATTATTTGATTATGAACTGCCGAGAGGAGTCGTCAGCGATTCCAGTCTCAATTCCTGTTACAGAGACCCCAAAACAAATAACATAATATGAGCACTTAAAACACTTTAGTCTGCTCACAGGAAGTTAAATGGTAAACTTTACACCAGTTGAGTTCACACATCACAGTTGCTTTAGGCCAGGGGTGCAAAACTCAGTTCCTGGAACACTGCAGAGTTTAGTTAAAACCCTTCAACACACACATATCTGTTGTCTTCAATAAGCCTGAAGGACTTGATTAGCTGGATCAGGTGTTTAATTATAAGGTTGAAGCTGTGGATTGTGGCCCTCCAGGAACTGAGTTTAACACCCTGCTTTATGCAATATATCGAAATACATGTTTATTTATACTTTTGGCAGATGATTTTATCCAAAGCAACTTGTATTGCATTCATGTTAAAGGAGAACTCCAGTAAATTTTAACATTGAGCAAATTTTTTTGTGAATTTGGAGTGCTGTCAGTACAGAGAACAACGACAAAAATCGGTGTTGCCTACACCGTGTTATCCTCTTTTTAAAAATGTGCACCCTGTTGACTTAAATGGGGCAAGTTTTAAACCTGCTTTTAGCCTCTTAACATCCTTGATGTGTCATTACAAGTGCACAGCCATGTGAGGGATTTTATTCAGAGTGAACACGGTGAATCTGACTGCAGTAGATATGAAAGATATTAATAAAAGTGATGTTTATTCAGCCAGCTCACATAGAGGGTTTTCACGACACGTCATCAATCCGGAAGTCGGCCATTTTGGAGGCACTGAACGTAAACAATGCCATTGAACTGAACGGATTCGCAAATTTGGCTGATTATTGCTGCTGAAAAATGGTCGAGTTTTGGTCTGTACTAATCGGTCGCATCGGGAAAAAACATTTCGAGTTCTATAGACTGCCAAAAGTTAAAGAGAAGAGTGCAAAAAACTGACGAAAGAAGGCGTTTGTGGTTGAGAGAGGCACAGCATCAGCTCATCAACCACATATGTAAATGAAGCGTTGACTATGGCTAAAATGTTGACGTATTTAACTATGGCTACATTCACACTGTCAGTCCAAATCCGATTATCTTTGTATCCGATTGGAATCTGATCTAAAATTATGTCCACACTGTGTATCGCAACTGTTCAGATCCGATTTGTGTGTCCATGCAGCTCTTGGGCAATCTGGCACTGACATTGTCATTGTGTTGATGGAGGGGTTTGCATTTGCAATAGAGATGTTGTCTTGTCTTATTTAAATTTTACAACATGGAAATGTGTAGCCGCCTGAAATATGAAATATGTTTCAGAAATAATGTTCTGCTCGTCCGGCACTTTGCAACAACACAGCATTGTTTCGACAGCGACTTTCAACATGTTTCCTCTAACAACGTCTGACGTTTACATTTTACGTGGCGTGAGAGTCACATAACTTGCCACGCGAAATCCGATCGTTCAGACTGAAGCCGATGTCCTGATATGTGATTTGAATGGGATTTCAAAACACATATGGATGTAGCTTGAAACGGATTTCATGTGCTTTTTTTGGACTGACAATCTGAACGTAGCCTATGTCTGGATAAGAAATAGAAGGAAGAATTGCAGTACGGGCTAGAGAAGCTAGCTCGTTCGGACCTTTACCACATATTAACTTTAGTTTGTCAAAATGTTGCACTCTCTCCTGCTTACTAAGTCCTTCTCTATATGATTTCGCACATACCACGTGTTTTTTCCGTGTTTTATTAGAGTAACAATGTGTTCAGTAGTACATAAACAGTGCAATCCATGCTGTTGTTTACATCCGAGTGCCTCCATAATGGCCGCGCATCCGGGTTACCGCCCAGAACGTGACGTTGGTGAAAACCCTCCTGTTTTCGGTCGAAGTCCACAGTAGTTGATTGTTGAGTTCGGTCGCGCGATCATTGGTAATTAAGCAACTGTGGAGACTCACTGTTCGCGCGCGCGAACTCGACAATCAACTAGATTTGGAGTGCTGTCAGAAAATCGGTGTTTCCTACACCGTGTTATCCTTTTTTAAAAATGTTTATTCAGCCAGCTCACATACCTGTATTTACTTCCGGTTTTCGGTCGAAGTCCAGAGTAGTTGATTGTTGAGTTCGGTCGCGCGATCATTGGTAATTAAGCAACTGTGGAGACTCACTGTTCGCGCGTGCGAACTCGACAATCAACTACTCTGGACTTCGACCGAAAACAGGAAGTAAATACAGGTATGTGAGCTGGCTGAATAAACATTTTTAAAAAAGGATAACACGGTGTAGGAAACACCGATTTTCTGACAGCACTCCAAATCTACAAAAAAATTAGCTCAATGTTAAAATTGACCAGAGTTCTCCTTTAACTTTATGAACGCATGACCTTCCCTGCTAAAAAATCCAGCATGGTCACCAGTATAAGGTATGTTTTGCAAACTGGGACCAGCTTGGGATGCTGGTTGACCAGCATGTTGTTTTTGGGTGCTAGTATGATCCCAGCTAGACCACAACAAAACTGGCATGTGTTACATATCACGTTTCTTAATTTGCGTTAATCGTTAAATAAAGATCAAGACAATTTTCCAAACTAATTGAATAAATTATTTAATAAAGAGAAACACATGTTGCTGTGTAAAATCCAGCAGTGTTAACAGTAAAATCCTCAGTGTTAAACAGACACTGCTCAGTTTTCATATGGTCCCAATCTATAGAGAGTAAAAGTAACACTGAAGCAATGTTGCAGTTAGTGAAAAAAAGAAGATTCACAAAAGTGATGATTGAGCATTAGAGATGACACCTGCGGTTAACAAGCAGAATCACTGAAGATAAGAGGAACAACAAGAACAGAAAAAAAAGGGAGGAAATGAGTAGAAACACAACAACTACAACTGTCTTACAACCACACAGCCTTAGATGAAATCAACTGCAATAAAATCTATATCTCAGCAGAGGATGATTAAACAACTCCATAAACACAACAGCATTACCATATATTTATGGTAATATCTATTAACAATAAAATACACAGCACAAGATTAGTGAGGCGGGAACTAAGTCCAAACAATAGGGGTAATACACAATGGGAGAACTGGCTGGTCTGGAATTAGACTGTACCAATCGCAATGACCAATGACGGAGAAAAGGTAGCGGCTCAGGGAAGCAAAGGCTTGACAGTAGGTGATGAGACTAGACGTACAGTAGCACCAGAAGAGCTGGATGCCTGAAGAAAAGAATTAGAAAAGAAAAAGAAAACAAAGAAATCTAAAAAAATAATAACTTAAGCTTGCAAACAAGACGAAAGCAAAATAAATAATTTCTAGGAATAAATGACTGGAGCTTGACTAAAAAACAAGACTGCAACCTTGCAGGGAACTAGAGAGAAAAATAAAGAAAAGAGTAGACAGCAACAAATTCAAAATCAAAAGGGAAACGTCTAAGGTTACGACTGTAACCATAGTGTCTAGTGCTCGCACTGGACACAAGAAGAGGTTCAGCTTTTCCTGGTCAGAGGTAAAAGGAGGACAGAAAGCCTGCAGCACAATAGGCCTCGGAATCATGGTCGGCACCTTGGATATAAGAATGCCTCGACTATCCCCTGTGCAAACTCAAGGCAAGTGGGGGAAACCGAAAGGGCCTGAAGGTCTCTGACTCTTTTGAGGGATGAAATAGCTAGCAGAAAGATAGTCTTAAAAAAAAAGATTTTTTTCGAATGGAGCCCTAGACAGGCCTTACAAAACTATTGCAAGATCCCAGGCCGGCACCCTAGTGCGAGTTGCAGGCCTCAGCCTCAAGGTGCCACTAAGGAAATGAGTAATCAGGGGATCTCGACCCAATGAAGTACCACCCACCAAGGCGTGGAAAGCCGCAATGGCCGCAACGTAAACCTTTAGCGTGGATGGATATAAACCTCATGTAAGACGTTCTTGCAGAAATTTGAGTACTGTGTTCACTGAACAGTTAACCGGATCCAACTGACGCTGGTGACACAAGAAGAGTGTCACAAGAAGTGAAAACTCTCAATTTAAGTGAGTAAAGTTTCCTCGTAGCGGGAGCTCTGGAGCTTGGAATGGTCTCGACAACCTCGGTTGAGAGACCACTCTCTATGAGTTGGGCCCCCTCAGAAGCCAAACCCACAGTTTCCATATTTGGCAGTAGCTTCCACGCTGTCAGAGAATCTACTAAGGGAACCAGCCTCTGGAGGCTGGCCTCTGGTGTTAAAGAGACAGCCAGTTCGGGAGCCTGAAACATACAAGCAGGAACTACCTGAACTGACTGTTTTTGAACTCCCCTCAGAGGTTGCGAGTCTGACGCAATGTCGAGTTGACACTGCGCCAGAGGCTCGCTGGAGACCGCTGCGCCCCGAAGCACCAAGGGTGTCGGGGTTGGCAGAACGGCCCCATGAGGACACCGAGATGGAACGGGCACCGTATTCTGAGGTGTACATCGCTCCACCCTGGTTGGGGCTGCCCTCACAGGTCTGACGCTAGTGACGTCAGGACCTTTTCTTTTGGGCCGAAGCCTTCTTAGCCTGAAGAACGGTCCTCAGATCCGGCTTTGACTTAAAAGGCTTCGGCTGAGAGTTTTGCGTCTGCTTTCAGTGTTTGTGTGGAGCAGCACGAGACGCACCACTCTCTTTCTGCTGCTGACGATATGAGGAGCTCGACGGCTGGGACTGCTCATGCCCAGCAGCCCCAGGGGGTTGGACACTGCGAGG